TTATATTCAGAATATGAACAATTATCACGGCTTCTAATAAGATATAAATCTCTATAATACGTAATACAATGTATCATTTCTTTCAGACATTGTTACTTTTTATAATTTTATCTGATCAGAAGTAGCGAATGTCACAGGAGTTACCGAGTGTCTATAATCTGACTGGTACAAATAATAGATAATAATAATCAATAATGATGATCCCGGGAGGACGATCCGGATGAGTTCTGGATGAGGAAGTTTTTCCAGATTCATTTTTTGCACCGGTAACTTTCTCTGCTTTATTCCAACACTCGGATGCAGTCTCTGGTATCCTCTACCCCAGGGGTGGGCAGCTCCGGCCTCCAGAGGGCCTCCATTACATGGGGGGAGGGGGAAGATTTGCAGTTCACAGATGATAAAGCTGATAACTAGGGATGCACCAATACCAGTATCAGAGGCGATACTTGGCATTTGTACGAGTACTCCCCGATACTTAAAGCCGATACCGTCTCTTTACATTTTTTAATGGATTCGGCTGCCGTAAGATCCCGAGTGTCAGTCCGTCCGAACATCTCTTCCTCCATCTTGCCGCCCCCCACAGTCATTGGAAGACCCGGGACAGCCCTCACAGCCATGGGGAGACCCGAACCTGCCCGCCCAGCTCTGGTGAAACCATACCCAGCCCTGGTGAGAACCACATGCATCCCTGGTGAGACTGCACATGGTCCTAGTGAGACCACACACCCTCAGTGAAACCCACACGCAGCCCTGGTGAGGCCCGCATACAGCCCTGGTGAGACCACACAGCCCTGATGATACCCATTTGCAGCCATGGTGAGACCACGCAGCCCTGGTGAGGCCCGCATACAGCCCTGGTGAGACCACACAGCCCTGATGATACCCATTTGCAGCCATGGTGAGACCACGCAGCCCTGGTGAGGCCCGCATACAGCCCTGGTGAGACCACACAGCCCTGATGATACCCATTTGCAGCCATGGTGAGACCACGCAGCCCTGGTGAGACCTGTACCTGCACCTGCACCACACACCCCTGGTGAGACCCGTACGCAGCCCTGGTCAACCCGGCACATCCCTGGTGAGACCCCACACAGCCATGGTCAGACCCGGCACAGCCCTTGTGAGCAACACAGAGTATGTAGCTTCATATTATTCTGCAGTGCTGGGATTTGTAGTCCTCTATAGCTGATGGTATTATTCTACATTGTTGTGTAAAGTATTGCTGGGAATTGTAGTCCCTCTTCAGCTTAGAGTCAGTATCAGAACTACCAGAGCTGTGACCGGGCGCTAGCGCTCCACCACTGTCCTAATTGCATTGTTTTAGAAAAACTGTCACATGAAAAAAAAAAAAAAAAGAATCGGCAGTTGGTATCGGCGAGTACTTGAGGAAAAGTATCGGTCCCGGGAAAATGGTATTGGTGCATCGCTACTGATCACATTGTTTGAGACATCATTTCAGTCCACAGGAAGTTACAAGGACACTGATTCCTGGATTTCTTGAAATTGTTTTGAGCCTAAAAAAAGAAAACTAATGCAGCCATCGCATCGAAGGGTTGGGACGCTTCAATGACATGTTTGATCTTGAGCTGAGACGTCTTTCAAAGGGGTTTTTGAGGACAGAATTAATTTTAAATGTCTCCTGAGGGCCACAGAAGCTCCTTTCACCCGTCCTGGATAAAGAAAACTGCGTCCCTAGCGCTAACACTGACCCGAAGCAAATGCTCACCCTGTGTATAGGTCATGTGACTGACATGTCAGCCCTGTTGATATCACGTGCCTGGTGGAGAACCGAGTAGTGAGGAGGCCTCCTTTGCAACTCGTGTCCCGCATCCCTGAGTGTGGAGACAGGAAGGGGGTGGCAGCGAGCAGCACCGGTGCCGGAGGGTGCGGGACACTGGGCCTGGGCCTGGGCAGGTTTCGAAGCCCGTCTTCAGTGAAGCAGGAAGCAGATGTGGTTGGATCTCCCAGAACACGGCTGGAGCAGAGCGGAGTCAGGCAAGCCAGGGTCAGCAACAATCGAGCAGCAGGGTACCAAAGGAGCAGGTAAAAAAGTAATCCAAGGGCAAGCAGAGGTCAAGGGCAGGCAGAGGTTAAGGGCAGGCAGAGGTCAAGGGCAGGCAGAGGTCAAGGGCAGGCAGAGGTTAAGGGCAGGCAGAGGTTAAGGGCAGGCAGCGGTCAGGCGCAGTCAAGGAATCCGGGTCAAACACAAACACTGGAACTGGCAAGGTACTGGAACAAACACTGAAGCTGAAAGACCACTCAGCAATGATCCCTGGAACCTGGCTGGTTTAAATTGGGTCATTAATTAGAGAGGATGAGTCATTTCCTGTGCGCCATGTTAGCGCAACTTCGCGCGTACGGCTGCCGGTGGCGCATTCGCAGTAGCATAAGTTTCCCGCAAATGGGGCGAACAGGCCTACGCGCATGCGCAGTAGTATCCTTGCGGCCAGGCATGGTCTTACAGTTGGTGACCACCGATATCTGATTTTGGAATTGACGGTATCACCCAATCACGTGTGTTCTGTTATTTCTGAGGATTTTATAACCTCAGAGATGGGGGTGAAAGC